ATCATTTAACATAATTGCCTAATTTTATTCATTCAGGCAGTAATCATTCAATGAATAAATTTACTTTTTTTGGTATCAAGCAGTGAACTAATGCTGAGAAAAGAGATGGAAAGATTTTGCCTCTAAAGAAGCTGACATTTTATTACTTATTGTGTAAAATGTTCAATTTTTGGGTGACATGTATATGAAACCCAGTCCCCACCATTATGCATGTAATATGCATTTAATGCAAAAGAATATGTATCCCCTGAATCTAAAATTTTGAAAGAGTATAAGCTGGCCGGACATGGTGGCTCACACCTCTAATCCCAGCACTTTGGGAGGCCAGGGCAGGTGGATCACCTGAGGTCAGGAGTTTGAGACCAGTCTGGTCAACATGGTGAAACTCGGTCTCTACTAAAAATATAAAAATTAGATGAGTGTGGTAGTGGGTGCCTGTAATCCCAGCTACTTGGGAGGCTGAGGCCGGAGAATCGCTTGAACCTGGAAGGCAGAGGTTGCAGTGAGCCCAGGGGGAAGGGGAAGGGGAAGGGGGAGAAGAAGTTGATAGTTTAGAGGGAATATAGGCATGTAAACAATTACTGTACTGTGCAATATAATGTATGTGTCCTATGCAATGCAACGTCTTAATAAGGTTCAATATGGGGCCGCAGGACCACAGAAGGAAGATGTGTCCTGCGGTAGCTGTTTAGCAAAGACTGTGAACAGGAGGTAGCACTTCAACTGGGTCATGAAGGAAGACTGGGAGTTTCCCAGATGAAACCTAAAGGCAGCAAATCCTAGGCAGAGGGAAAAGACTTTTCAAAAGCCTATAACAAAATGGAAGACGTGAGATAAACAACAGTTAGATCACAGGTATTTTATATGGCATGTTCAGGAATTTAGATTTGTATTATACTACAGCAATACGCTCTAAAGTCAAATCATGACACTTAACTTGCTGTGTGATATTAAGTTAATTACGTGAACTTTCTGAAACTTAGGGTTCTCATCTGGCATTCCAGATGGGGGAAGCAAACATCAAAGTGCTAGCATGCTGTCTGACATAGAGGAGGTGCTTGAGTCCTACTGCGTGTAAAAGTAGCTTCAATAAAATGGGCATTTATAGCTCTTCCACATACAACAGTCCAGTGGCGGAGAGCTCAGAGCTGATACGGCAGCACTGAAGACCTCAGGGACCCTGTCTCCACTATTATAGACTATGGGTGCTTTCTTCATGATATCCTCATATCCAAGGTGGTTATTAGAGCTCTCTACCCATATTCTGAGCAGCAAGAAGAAAGGGCACAGGAGAGAACTTCTCAACTAGAGCAACTATAAGTCCTTAACAGCTTTTCTGGAATCCCCTCACCCCCCATTAACCCGCCATCTCATCATGTCAGTTTTGCATGGGCATACTTTGCTTCAGGAAGCCTGGGTATAGAGTGTTTTAGGGGGGCACATTTCCATACCCAAACAAACCAGGGCTTTGCAATTAAGAAAAAAGGAGAGCATGGACACTGGGGGGCCACTTAAAGTCACTGCCATAGTGTTCAACAAATGTTGGTTTTATTTCATCCCTTGGCAAGTCAGCACAGTTTAAAATGGAAAGATGAGTTTTGAAGTCAAATCCACTTGGGTTCATACCCCAGATCTGGCACTCATTCATTATGTAAACTTAGGCAAGTCACTTTTAGCTCTCTGAGCATCAGGTTTATCAACTATAAAATGAAGGCAAGAATGCTGCTCTCTCAAGTCATAGAACACCTGGCACATGGATGGTATGCAGTAGAGTAGGGTTCTCTCTAGCCTTCCACCCTTCTCTCCCAACCCAGCAGAAGCCTAGGGCATCAGGCCCAAGTCCAGCTCATCCATCATCTGTGCTTCACTGTCGGCAAGAGAGAGACACCAGAGCCAGGATCTTATGAGTGAGTCAAAACAAAGTCAGATGGAGAGTTCCAGTTAGGCATCTGAAGGAGGCAGGCAGAGAAGGATCAAGGTGTAAGTCACGAGGATGCAAACCAGAGAAACAAGATCATAGCAAGAGGGTGTGGGAGACACAATCGAGAGACATTCCCACAGATAGCAAAGCAGGATGTGATGTCCCATGGGGGGAGGGAACTCTGATTTGGAAATACTAATGGGGAATTATTAAGTACTAGATTATGTTAAATAAAGCTTGGACCCTGTGAGAAATGGACTTGGTCTTAAATAAAATTCTTAGGTATGTGATCTGTCTGGGAGAGGTCTGAAGGACTCAAGCACAAATGCATCTAATAGCGGTATCTAGGGTCTAGTGACCTTTGAAGAAGTCTGCAAAAACCATAGAAAATAAGCAATTTAATTCATGAACATCTTAGTCCCTCATATTTCACTGTGAGAAACAGAAGCCCATCCATACTAAGTAATTCAAATAAAAGGGAAGTTTATGGAGTCGATACAACTGGCAAGCTAATGGGCTTACAAGACCAGAACAGACATGGATGGGTCTCTGGGAACACAAGGGGCCTGGACATTGTCAGGCAGGGTGAAGGCTGTCCCTTACTCATTCTGCTTTTCTCTACCCACCTGCTTGCTCTACTGTTTCTCTCGACACATCAGCCTTTTCTGGTTACTCATAGCTTGTGAGCTATTTCTTAACCCCAACGCTATGCAGCATTCATTGCCATGGTGATGACTCAAGCTCTGACTCCACAAGTCTCTTAAGTTCAAATGTTCACATCTTACAATATGATTTCTAAGCTTTTAGCTAAATCCTAGAGGTTGAAAATCTTCTTAAGTCAGGTTAAAGATTGGCTCCCCTGAGTCAGATGTCCAGATGTCCACTCCTCATCTAATCACCTGGACTAGAGAATAGAGGAAGGTCTCATAGTTCTGTGGAAAGCCACATCTATTTCTTTTTCTCCTAAAGTCCTTACATGTATAAAGAGTAAGATCAAGACTTAAAGTTATGGTTCCATAGCTAAGATTTGCCCACCAGCATCACACCCAATAATAATCACAAGGACTATCACCATCACCACCACCATTACTACTCCCACCTGTGTGACTCCCTCCACTGCAGTCACCCACAGCACAATCACTATTACAGCAACCACTACTCCTATCACCATCATCTCCATCATATTAGCTTTTGCATGGACATATTTTGCTTCAGGAAGCCTGGGGTATAGAGTCTTAGGGGGGCACATTTTCATACCAAAACAAACCAGGGCTTTGCAATTAAGAAAAAAGGAGAGCATGGATGCTGGGGGGTGGGGGAGCCACCATTATCAACATCACCACTTATAAACATCACAGTTACTCTCACCACTAACCTGCCCACCACCATCCCCACCACAGTCATCGGTCACTATTGTCATCACCAGCACCATTACCACCACTAATATCACTTCCTCTATTTCTGAAATTATCCATACCTCTACCATTGCCATCACCACATCCCCCACCAACACCATTATCACCACCACTTCCATCATCACTACCACCATCCGACTATCTCTGCTACCATCACCATTATCACTACTACCAAGATCATCCCCATCACTGCTATCATCACCATCACCACTTCCATCTTCACCATCACCACCTTCATCATTACCATCACAAGCCCCCTTTATAATTACCATCATTATCACCACCACCATCACCATCAATTACCCCAATTAGTACCATCACCACAATAACCTCCCCTATTTCACCTCACATCCCTCATAATTATCACCACTCTCGCCATTACTACCACTACTACCACCAACTAAAACATTATCATCATCACTATTAACCCCACCTTTGCCAGCACTATCACCATATTTACCACCACCTCCATTATTACTACCTTCATCATCACTGCTATCTCCACCATCATCACTACCACAGGGCATCTCTGCTACTACAACCTATAAACATGTAGGCTGGAAAACAAGATTTCTACTATGGGTAAACTAATCTTGAAGAGAGAGGAAGTGGAAGTCAGATAGGTGCCTGTGAATTTTCTAAGTACATCAATGTCAATAATTCTTTATAGTTATCTAGTCCTGAAAACTTAACATCATCTTGTCTTTCATATCCAATCAGTAACTGAGTACCATACATAGTCATTTCTGATGTACCTATATGGCTTCCTGCTTTTCTATTTCTGCTGCCACCATCCCTCATTTCACAAATGGGTGATCACAAATGTTTCCTAGCTGGCCCTCTGCCTCCAGTCTATCTATTTGCAAAGCATTTTTCCCTTCCTGCCAAATTAATCTTTCTAAAATCTTAATTTCACTGCTTTTTTGCTTTGCTCAAAATCTGTTGGCCAGATTTCCCCATCTAGAACAAGAGGCTCTAGATCCAGATTCCTTTGCCAGCTCTATTTCCTGTGACTCTCCTCCTGGAACTTTGGGCTCGTGCTAGGCTGATGTCCTCATTAGTCTTTCAAACCTAGCATGGTCACACTTACCTCCACATCACAACTCAAACATGTCCTCTACTTGGTCTGTCTTCTACAAACCTCTGTTTCTATACAAATCCTACTTATTTCTCAAAGTTTGACTTGAAATGGGGAGATATGTTAAAGAATCCAAAGTAGCAGACTTGTAGGATGCACAACTCTAGAGATCTAATGTATAGCATGAAGACTATGGTTAATAAAATTGTATTGTATTTGGGACTTTTGTTAAATAAGTAGATTTTAGCTGCTCTTGTCACAGATGTACACACATATAAGTAACTCTGTGAGATGATAAACATATAAATTTGCTCCACTGTAAGTGACCATTTCACTATCTAAATGTATCCCATACCATCATATTGTAAAACTCAAATATACACAATAACATTTATTTAAAAACAAACAAACCTGGGCTTAAATCATACATGTATGAAATTTAAGGGATTCCTCTTAAGAACATTAGGGGACTCAGCTAAGAGGACAAAGTCCCCACGTTAGACTCTGTTTTTCTTGAGTCCTAAGATGATTAAAAATTAATAAAGACATAAACCTATAGCAGCCAAGAGAATGGGAGGATACTCACCAACATACAAGACGTTTTAATGAATTTTCAGAAGACAGGCGGTAAATGGAGAAGCATTAGTGGCTTCAAGCAGAGTAGAAGAAAGAGCAGCCTTGAGAAAGCTGCAGTAATTTGAAAGCAGCAGAACCATGTAACTCCTGGACACAGAGTCAGTGCACTCAACAATGGAAACAAGGAGCAGAGCTGAAAACCAGGGAGAGTGAGAGGACTATCAATAAAATAGTAGACACCTCCACTCTTGCACAAAGCTCAGGCTAACAGGCATTTATTCCCAGTCAAAACACAAGGGCATTTTTCTGAAGGAAAAAAAAAATGAAAGAAAAGAAAAAGAGAAAACCACAGGACACCTGTTGTGGTTTGAATGTGGCCCTCAAAGTTCATATGTTGAAAGCTTAATCCCCAATGCATCAATATGAAGAGATGATTCAGCTATGAGGTATTCACCCTCGTCAATGGAGTAAAGTGGTTACTCTGGGAGTAGTTAGTTATCATGGAAGGGGGCTCCCAATAAAAGAATGAGTTCAGCCCCGTTTCCTCTCTCTGTCTCCTCTGAGTACCTCCTTGCCATGAGATGCCTCCAGCCCCATTAAGAGGCAATGAGAAGGATTTCATCATATGTGGACTGTCCATCTTGAACTTCTCTGTTTCCAGATTCATGAGCCAAACAAACCTCTGTGATATTCTGTTAGAGCAGAAAAAATATTCTAAGACAATACCTAATGTGAACTAAGGCAGCTCTCATAGGTGTCAGCATCTAAAAATAATACAGCCCTCATTCTGGCTTTGGGCAGACCATCAGCATGGTGATTAGCTCCTCATCTGCTCACCTTAAAAAGAGGCCAGCCAGTTCAACAGGCCAAACTCAGAAAATTCCTCATTAGCCCTCCCATTTTCCATTCTCAGATACCAACAAACACTCAAAGGTATCCTGACAGTTTAGGAAAAATAGCAGTTTGAAAGAGAAAGCCCAAGATAAACTGAACAGAAGCATCATTCAAGTTCAGAGATTTATTTTCAAGGAAAAAAATCTAATTAGTAGGCACACTGGGATTTAAAGAGCTATTAAATCCATAGGTCAAGAATAGGAAACAATCAAAGAGATGACTAGGGTATATAAAACTTTAGTTTTGAAATGAAAAATGTGATTGCTGAAATAAATATTTTAATAGAATGGTTGGGGAGCAGAGTTCTAGAAAACCTTTCAGAGCATAAAAGAAAAAAGGTGAAGGAATAAAAACTATGAGCAATAATAATAAGCAATAATAGGGGCATCAAATCAGGAGGTCCAACACCCAACCAATAGAAGTGCAAAATTAAAGATGCCAAATGAGTGCAGAGGAGACAACTGTCAAAGAAACAACCAAAGGCATTTTCCAGATTTAAAGGGAGAAGTGAATTTCAAATTGAAATTACAAAATGGATTGAATAACAACCAACTTGCACCAATACATATCATTGCTAAAAATAATTCTTTTCATTTATAAAGTCTTTATAAAACACATTAAAATAAAAGCGAAGTTTGTGGAAAAAGAAATGGAGGTTTAAGCATAACATAGTTATGTATAATTTGATAAATAAAAAATGCCATAGGCATATTTTTAATGAAAGAAACTAGCTTGAGCATTCTAAATGGATGTAGTTAACAGTGATAGCTTCCAGGGACAGAGGTCCAGGTGTGGGAGGTATGAGGCAGTTCTGGCATTTATGAGCATTGAGTGAAAATGATTATACCAGTGTAACCATCTCCTAGGTCAAGTAATGCACATCGCTAGTAGCAAAGAAGTTCTGTTCATGCCTATCTCCAATCGGGAATCTCTTTATTCCCTTCTAATCTGACTTCCAAGTTTTAAAGAATTTGCTTCCAAATTCTAAATTTTCAATTTCCACAAAGGAAAACAAAAAGCTTCTGAAATTTTATTTGGTATTGCATTGGATCTATAGATCGGTTGCGTGGTCTAACACTTCAACTAACATTTTAATAATATTTAGTTTTATAATCCATGAACATGATGTAGTTCCATTTATTTGTCTTAATTCCTTTCAAGATTTTATAGTTTTCCAGGTAATAACCCTAAGCATTCTGCATTAGACATAATTCTAGGTATTTCGTGTTATTTTATTCTATTACAAATGACCTTTTTATTTTATTTTTTGATAATCTATGCAACTGATTTTTAAAATATTGGCATTGTATCCAGCCACCTTACTAAATTACTGTTTAAACATTTTATTCATAGATTTCTTTGCATTTTCTATATACGTTTGCACAACATCTGCAAATAAAGTCAGTTGTAAACCATTTTACCTTTCATTTCATTTTCTTGCTTGTTACACTGACTAGAACACCTTGAACAATGTTAATGGAGGTGAGAATAGTAGCATTTTTATTTCTTTTCAAGCTAAAGGGAAAAAAAATCAACATTTCACTGGTAGGTATGATTTTTGCTGCAGTTTTATGTAGATATGATTTATCAGATTAAGGAAGTTTCCTTCTGTTGTTAGCTTGCTGTATTAGAAATACCCAAGACTGGTAGTTTATAAACAAAAAGAAGTTTAATTGACTCACAATTCCACATGGCTGGAGAGGCCTCAGGAAACTTATAATCTTGGCAGAAGACACTTCACAGAGTGGCAGGAGAGAGAATGAGAGCTGAGCAAAAGGGGAACACCCCTTATAAAATCATCACCCTCATTACCTCCCACTGCGTTTCTCCCGTGACTTGTAGAGATTATGGGAACTACAATCAAGATGAGATTTGGGTGTAGACACAGCCAAATCATATCACTTGCTAAAAGATTTTGTGTGTTGCTGTTTATCATAAAATGGTGGTGAACTTGTAGCTTTTTTTCTATGTTGAAATCAATGTATGGTTTTTCTCCTTTATTCTATTAATTGATTTTGGAGTGTTCACTAGAACACTAGTTTGGTTTTGATTTAAATCAAAATAATACATGTGCATAGTTAAAAATCAGATAATACTGTATGAAGGTGTTCTGCTTACAATGATAGCAGTCAAGATTCAGAAACACCCTCCCCCGATAATAACTAGAAAAACTAGACAAAATATGAAAGAAAAATTGTCTGGAGGCTGGGTGCAGTGGCTCACACCTGTAATCTCATCACTTCAGGAGGCTGAGGTGGGCAGATCACGAGGTCAAGAGATCCGAGACCATCCTGGCCAACATGGTGAAACCCTATCTCTACTAAAAATACAAAAATTAGCTGAGCGTGGTGGCGCATGCCTGTAGTCCTAGTTACTTGGGAAGCTGAGGCAGGAGAATCGCTTGAACCCGGGAGGCGGAGATTGCAGTGAGCCGAGATTGTGCCACTGCACTCCAGCCTGGCAACAGCCTGGCAACTCCATTTCAAAAAAAAAAAAGAAGAAAGAAAGAAAGAAGAAAGAAAAGTAGCCTGAAATCCTCAGCAAAGAATTTTGGAGCTAGCTGATGGAAGAAGAAGGAAGCTCAGTGAGGTGACCTGGCAATTAGGGTCACAGTATGGAGCATTCCTAGAACAAACCCAATTTGGTTGGAATGTATGATCCATTTTTTTATCACTAGGTCCAGTGTGCTAATATTTAGTTCCCATCTATTTTTAATTTTTGTATCTGTTTTCAAGGATGAGATTAGCCTATAATTTTTTCTGTACCAGTTTTGTCTAATTTTGAGATAAAGGTAATGCTAGCCTCAGAAAGTGATTTCACAGATGTCTAGTCTTTTTCTCTTCTCTGGAAATGTCTGGATACATTGATCTCACATCTTCCTTAAATGTGTGGGTAGAAATCTTCAGTGAAGCCATGATGAAAATGGAGCTTTGTTTGTGGAAAAAAATTAATTATGGTTTCAATTTCTTTAATATTTATCTGGCCATTCAACAGCTAAGCTAAGACTATTTCACTTGCCTGCTAACATTTTAAATCTTGTCTTTAATTTCCTTTAACATATCAGCTGAATTATCTTAAAGTCTGTATCTAATACAAATATCCTGGATATCCTGTGGCTCTGTCTCTATTGTTGTTATTTCTCTTTGTTGTTGTTTGTATTCAGATATGCTGCACCTGGTTGGTTGTAATTGCATGCTGACATTTTATGTGGAGAACTGTAAAGATAAAGTCTAAAATGATGCTATTTTCATCCAGAAATGTGTTTTGGTTTGCCTCTAGTACACAGCTGTGCTTGGGGAAATATCCCCCCTTTACCCCTACCATGTAATAAAGTTGTTTGGACCCAAGTGTCAGTGTTCTGCTCCCTGATGGACTTACTTCCACAAGTACCCCCTCCAGGTCTCATCACAAGGCTTTTTTGGTGGGATCTAAACTTCAACTTCATCTCCTGGCCACATGACTGTCTCAAAAGTTCTACTAAGCTTGACAAATTTTATCTGCCTCTTCTGGATCTGCAAATGCCTCTAGGGAACATGTGGCCTTAACTGCCAGGTCACCTCTCTGAGCTTCCTTCTTTTTCCATCACCTAGCTCCGTAATTCTTTGCTGAGGACTTCAGATTATTTTTCTTTTCCATTTTGTCTAGTTTTTCTAGTCGTTATCAAGGGGAGGGTGGTTCTGAATCTAGACTGTTATCCTTGAAAGCAGAACACTTTCATATGGTATTATCTGATTTTTAATTATGCACATGTATTATTTTGATTTAAATCAAAACCAAACAAAATTGGGAGTAAGACTTAAAGAATCAGAATTCCTGTGGACAAAGGCTTAGAAATGTACATTTTTAAAGCAAGCATCCCAAGTGCCCTTTGTTTGCAGACAATTTGAGAAGCATGATCTTAAACCCTTGCTATTCACCAATAACTAAATACTGAATTTGTCTATCAGTTAAATGAGCTAAAAGTACAGTTCCAAAAGTGTCTAGGCCACAAAAGACAGTTGCAGGTGGAGGTCATCTGAGAGGCTTGAACTCTTCTTAGAAAAAAATGAGGATGAGTAAGAGGGGTCATGTAAAGGCCCTAATCAGGAGGAAGGGCCCAGTGCTAGGTAGGTGTCTGGATATGTGGATGTGGTGTAGATGGATGGAAAGAACAGCATTTCTAGGGCAATGGCTCAAAGGATCAAGGTCACAGAATCAGGTTT